AAAACACAAGACACGAAGGATAAAGATGACGCCAGAGTACCTTTGAGGGGAGGCATATGAACCACCTAGCTCTAGGCTGGTCTCCAAGCCGGCTGCACGAAATTTTGTTTTGCCGCTCTTAATCCCTGTCCCAGCTCTCCGCCCCCCACGCTCTGGTCTCCGGAATAAGTTCCCCCCCCTAACCCCGAAACGACGCTTCTCATTGCCGCCAGCATCCGGGGCTCGACCGCCTCCCGTTCCACGCCCCCCAGTCACCCGGCCTCCCGAAGGCGCCCCCCTAAACCCGCCCGCACCCACCCGCGCTACTGGAGTCTGCTGCCTAGCCCCCTGTTCTCGCGAAAAACCTGGGAGAACAGCGGGAGGGGGTATTCCCACCGCAGGTGGGGCACCCGCCGGGGACGCCGCTGCGGCGGCAGCTGGCGCCGGAGCTGGCGGCGGCGGCCGCGGTGATGAGGTCGCCGCGGCAGCGGTAGCTTGAGGTGCCACCGGAGTAGTCGGCGGCGGCGCCCAAGGAGCTGTCGCCGCCCCCCCTGAATGTCCTCCTGGCTGTCCCACGCCGATTTTGGCCGCAATACTTTGCAACAACCCCAACCCTTGCTGGGACTGCTGCAGACTCTGCTCGGCCATGTCGTGACTGCGTTGCGCGAGCTGAGTGTTGTGCGCAACCTGTGCCCTAAGCGCATCGAGTTCGGCGGGCGCGGGCGGTTGCTGCTGAGGGTTCGGTCTGTCCACCAACTTGGTCACAGCCATCTTCATCAAGTCCATTATCTCCGAGCTACCACCCGAGACGCCACCTGGGGTTCCGCGAAACTTCTGCTTTCGCACGCCTCCCCCCCTCCCGGAGCGCACCTTCCGACCCGCCTTGCCCGCGGAGAGTTCCGTCGCCTCCTCGTCGTCGAGCTCGAACTGGCCTTGTCCGTCGCTGCCTTCATCCCCATGCACTAACCCTGAGGCAGAAGACTCGTCGCCATCGTCGTAGTCCCCCTGCCCGCCGCCACCAAAGTCCTCGTCCTCGCCCCGGGGGTCCTCGGGATCTTCCCCTAGCTCCTCCACGTCGTCTATCCCACCACTGTTTCCCCTCCGCGCGAAGTAGTCATCTGCCTGTTCGTCATTCAGAACGCCGTCCAAATCGAATAAGCCGACTGATGATGAGGCGCGCCCACGGCCGCGTGCGCCGCAACCACGTACAGCCCCAGCCCCCATTCTGGGGCGTCCACCCCTAGCGGAGACATGCCTACGTCCGACCGCGCCTCCCGCGCCCGAGGACGTGCCTCGCCCACCCGCGGTGGAACCAAGACCACGCCCCCCCCCAGCAGAGCCCCGTCCTGTGGCAGGAGCTCTGCGAGGGGCGGAGCCGGTGGCGGAGCCGCCGCCTGCGGCGACTCCCCTCCCCCCGCGAGCAGAGAGACCGCCCCTGCCTCCGCCTGCTGAGGGCGCGGAGGACCTCCAAGAACCTCCGCCGTAGGCAGCGCGGTCACGTTCGGCCTTGGCGGCCGCTACTTGCTCCTTCGCGGCGACGTCCCCCGCCATCGCCTGCTCCTTTGCAGCTTGTTGTAGCTTGATGGACGATATGAGCTGGTACTTCTGGAGCGGAAACGCAGGCGATGTAGGCATGAGCCACGGATGCAAAAAAAAACAAAAAAATAGAAACAGAGTTAGGATACGGCGCGTTGCTCCACTCACCAACCAAACGCCAACGTTGAGTCTGTCGGCATTGTTGCACGTGGGCCCCCTTCGTGATGTCCCCCCACCATTTTTTCGGCTTACGCCGTTGTTGCGTTGGAAGATTACGGGGGCGTCGAGCTACCCCACCCAACAACAAATTAACAAACAAAAACAAAAGTAAAAGGTGCGTGCACGATCTCCCACGGGGAGGGGACACGTCGTGAGTCCGCAATTAATTTCCCGCTTAGGACGGGTACAGCCACCCGGGGAGACGACAAAAAACAAACATAAAAAAATAAAACTCCCTCCCGCACGCACGTGCTTACAATCGCGGGCGGGGGGTGGGATCTGACCCTAACCCATTTTTTTGTGCACAGTTTTTTGAGTCCGGACTCTTGACACGGGCCACCAATCTATCCCCTGACACACAGAGACGAGGCACAGCCCCCCCCGACCACCCGACTGGTAAACCCCACCTCCCGAAGTACCATCCGCGCACCTCAGAATCCCTCGCGTACAGCTCGCTCTCCTCCTCCTGAGTCATTGTCCCTTCTCCGGTCAGCTTCGCGGCACCCCTCTCTTCCTTTTCGATAGCGTTTCTCCTGCGGTTCCATCCTCTCTCGATAGTGTCCGCCAGCTTTGCCTTGTCCACGGGATCCTGGAGTTTCGGGGCGTGCACCAATGGGAGCGGGTGGGAGAAGGGGGGGCAAATGAACAGCGAACGTTCCCCTCACACCTCCGCGTGAAACGCCCACAGAGAGAGATCGTTCAATCAAAACCCTAAACCGTGGAAATGCATGACCTCGATACGAAGGAACCAAAGAATACTACCATTCAAGAGAGAAACAAACATTCAATCAGCCTTAATCTTGATACGGTCCTTACACGATTGCGCTGGTAGTCCAGGTGCAGGTCTTGCCGCACCCCATTCCTGAATGTGGTCAGCGTCTGGGCCTCTATGAACGTGTCCACCACCCGAAGCCACTTTCCAGGCCGCAGTGCGTCACTACGCTCCCCCCACGGAGTGTGTTTCCCGACGGCTAGAAAGCAGCATTCCCATTCCCCTGGCCTCGCCATGGCTCGTTGGATCGTGAAGGGATTTACACCTGGAGGAGTTTATTTGCATACGCGAGGGCGCGTGATGGTCCATACAAGTTTAGAGTACAGTACACGACGGTGGCACCCGATGCTCGTACATGGACTTGTACCTAACCCAACCACAAGTTATACAACGGCTGTTCCTTCATGCCTTTTTCTCACTAACCGGTCCGACCTACACGCCGAGATGTCAGCACACTTGTATCTCGCTGCTACTTGCTACCCGAACAATCGCGTAGATCGGCCCCGGGAACAACTCTGCGTGCACCCAGTCGACCCCGAAAAGAAGTCCTTCCCAAAGAAGAACTCACCCTGATCAGTGGCCCGCTCTTTGCCGCTCTTGGCCTTGCCCCGGGTGCTGTCGCCCGAGTCGGAGCTCTCTTCACCTGCCTCCTCCTCATCACCTTCGCCTACCTCATCTTCTCCCTCGTGCGCTCCCGCGACCACCCCCTCCAGAAGCACGCTGCTGCTTCCTGATACGTCCAAGCCACTGCCCGACATATCCAAGGCTATAGGGTTGGACATGCGACCACTGCCGCCAGCCGAAGCAGCCCTACCACCTGCCCACCCCTCGGAGTCGAGATAAGGTGAGCCTTCTCCGTAGCGACTGCTGGGAGTGGACTTCCGCTTTCCGAGCGCCTTCCCGGGAGTCAACGAGAGGGAGTCTGAGCGCTCCTGCGACATGTTTCCTCTCGACTCCTGTGTATACACTCCGCGAACTACACTCCCTAAATGCCAACCGCCGCCAGCGGCTTCGCGCCCCTAGTACGTGCGCCCAGAGCTACCGTCTCTTCCACCAACCACTGCTGTAACCTCTCCCATCACGGGCGGGGCACCCGAATAGCTGCTGTTGTGGTTATCTCCCGTGTGCTTCGAGTCCAGAGTCCAGACAGACCAACCTCGGCGTGTTTTGTTCTCGATCCCGCGATGAACGCACACGATCCTAACCGCGGCTTGACGTTCCCCTAACGCGATGTACTCCCGGGAGCGTTGTGTTCACGTGTGTGGGTGTGCGGGCAGCTGCGTGCGAGCTTGCCGACTGAGTTGATGCCTTCGTGTGTGTGCGATGGCGCTCGTGTCAATTTGTCTCTATCTCAGTCCAAAATACCTCAGGTGAAAATATTTTGACCACGTTTTCGAAAAATTCTGACCTGTAATTCTGACATGAAAAAATGCGGCGTAACCTCTCGTGTCAATATTCTGACGTCTCGTGTCAAAATTCTGGTCTCGTGTCAAATTTCGTGCTCGTGTCAAAATTCCTGACACACGTGGGACCCATGTAGTAGATGATGAAAATCCCAAAAATCTGCACGGACGCATACCTGTTCTGGCTCAAGGTGGAAAGTGGAAAGTGTTCTGCCGCCTCGACTAACCATCCACGATTGATTGTTGGTGTACTGCTGTAGACTAATTGTGATTGGCACGGTGCGTGCAACGCAAAAAGTCATCGTTCGGGGAAAGGAGCACGCATGGCGTAGTACTGAGCGAGCTTGTATACAAGCTAATGTTATACTTGGACCAATATTTGTGAGACACGTACCGGCGTCATGACGGGACCGTCATTGTAAAGCACATCGACGAATCAGCGATCAGCGCCGATTGGGCTGTTCGGCATGTCTCCGGAAATCGAAGCATGCTCCCGACTACAGTAGCATACCAACTCTCCCTATCTCGCTCGCTCGCTCTGCCACTCCCTCTTCTCCCTCCTTCTCGGCTACGCCGTACGTGGAGCTTCATAGTACCTCCTCCATCCGACGGGGATCAGGTGAGTGTGGAGGGTAGAAGGCGAAGAGAGCGAGAAGAGAGAAAAGAGAGACAAGGAGACGGAGAGACAGAGAGGGAAATACAACTCCACGGTAGCTTGATAACGATTAACGAAATGAAAATGGCCCGTACGCGTTTTGCTGTCTGTCGTGCCCTCGTGCCCTTGCGACTCCACCAACACTGAAAATAGTTGGAGGGATTGTTGGGGAGTCGGAGATCGGTGTGCTCTTCCGGATTTGTCAGTGTACAACTGTGGAGGTCAGCCTTACAAGGGGTAACTTCCGTACCCTGTCTGTCGAAGACGTTTTGACCCTATTCACATTTGGCGTCGACGAAGTGATCTGTGAAGTTAAGCGACATCGGGCCAGGCCAATACTACGTACGGTGGGGGACCCCGTAGTCAGCCGCCGGTACGGTTTGGTCCTCCCGTGGGCAGCAGCCGGTACGGTGGGAACCCCGTAGGCAGCCGCCGGTGAAAACGTAAAACACATGGATCGACTCTCGGAACTTCTGAGACGTGGCGGACGTAGCGAACCCGTTCAACACGAAGAGAAAGTAGTGTGGAAAAACACGGTCTCAATCAAGAAGATATGCGGAATAAGTGGTCGAAAAAGTATTCGCCGCCAGCCGGTTGGGTTCCGGTTACCCCTAGAAGCCTTCTCTTGCCTGGCGACCAAGAAGAAGTCTCAAAAAGGGGGAGGCAATGTGGAGGTCACCCCTACAAGGGGTAACTTCCGTACCCTGTCTGTCGAAGACGTTTTGACCCTATTCACACAACGGGTCTACTTTTTGTCTACATCAATAGTCTTATAAAGTGTCGAGAGAACTTTTCCATCTGCAAAAGAAGCTTGAAACAGGACTCACTACCTTCTTGCCGCATTCGCCACGCACAAGGCTGAACAGCTTCGTTCCGTGGCTTTCGTGCTGCTCGACTGTGTGCTCCACTGCACAAAAATATAGCCCACCGAAAATCAGGACACATGAAAGCTTATGAACCTGGAAGTCTCTCGCGCCCCCTCGGCCCAATCAACGCAGATTATGGGTGGGTTTCTTGATGAGGATGCTGTGCGAGTGGCGGCAGCTAAGTCGCTGGCAGAGTGTGCCATTGATCGGCTTCAACAGCAAGGAAACCTCGTGGAGGCCGAACGCGTGTTGAAAGAGTGTGTGTCAATCCTCGACGGCAGACGATATGAGAAGGGACGTGACGGCATATTGGCTGCCACGCTGGGTATGCTGGGCGAATGTCTTTTGGACGCAGGGATAGAGCAAAAGGAAGGAGACAAAATGAAGGAGGCCGAGGGAATACTAAGACGCGCGTTGGTGGCAGCCGAGTTGGATGGAGAAGACTCCGCGATAGCCAACGCTCTGTCTGAACTCTCTCGCTGCCTTCGAGAGCAAGGCTATGTACAGATGCGCAAGCTGGGGGAGTCGGAAGAGCTGATAACGAAGCTAGGGGAGGCGGCAGAGCTGCTGGAGCGCTGTCTGGAAGTTCGGGAGGCCAAGCTGGGCCCAGATGATGATATGGTAGTTGGCACGCAGCTCGAATGGGGAATATGCCTCTCAGAGGCAATGCGACCGGCGGAAGCCGTTCACACACTGAGGCAATACTTGGCAATCCAAGACGCGAAGCTTGATCCTTCGGACATACAGATAGCGAGGGCGCTGAGACCCTTGGCTGTCTGTCTTTCACGAATGGGAAAACCGGAAGAAGCCCGGGGTGCACTTGGGCGTTGCCTCGCAATCCAGGAAGCCAAGATGTGTGAAGACGTCGAAAACTTATCCTTCACGCTGCATCTACTTGGTCTGCACCTCCTAGAGTCCGGGGAGCCAACGGAGGCGCAGGAGAAACTGCGGCGCTCTTCGGCAAGGCTGGGGCCAGGGCATTGTTTGGTGATATCCATCGAGCTCGAGCTGGCTATATGTCGCCGAGTAGAAGATCACAAGGTTAGTTGCGTGTGGCGTACATGTGCATGTGCGTGTTTGTCTGTGTGTCTCTCTGTCTCTCCGTCTCTCTGTTTGCTTGTTCCATGTTTTCGGGTCTCGGTCTGCGCTTCGCAATTTGTGCGTCGATTTTTTATCACCCAGCCAGGCGATCACAGAGGTATTTCTTCTTTGTCGTGCCTTCAACGTTTCGGAGAGTAGTGAAATGGTTCAACGAGTATGGCGAAGTGTAGGGATGTGCGGTGAGACGGCAGAAGATTTAGAAATGACTGAGAGGGTGGCCGTGGACAGCTGTATTCGTAGCATGTCTTTGCTGACTCTTGGCGTACGTTTGTGCACCCAAACCAATGTCAAGTCGCGGCTACCCACTTCTACCTAGATAAGTGAGTAATCTGTACGTACCTGCTGCTTGATTGACTGCGCTGCATTCCGATTATTTTGTCACCGTTGTTTCGCCCTCACACATTCTTCCGGCGTTTCACCAATTCATATGTCATCTGGCTCCCATTGCTGCAACGCTGGAAAAACAGCGCTGGGATCCAGGGATGCCTGTAGGAAGCAGCACGTTGCACATGCTTGATCAACATGACTGGGAGTACGAGGCACTATGCGATCAGTTCAGGACCAAGTGGCTCAAGTTCCAGCCGCCAAGGGGTGTCTCGATCGAGCGTATTTTCAGCATTCAGGTGTGACATTAAGGTCCACAGCACGCTGGGGTGAAGCGTACGGTAGGTTAGCCAAATCATGATGTTGATGAACATCATCACGCTCGAAGGCTCGAGACTCAATTCGACGTAGCTGTTCCTGCCACTGACCTGATCTGTGTGCTTCCCGGTCTTCAGACGGATGCTTTTCTTGTATCGGGAGGGTTGTTCCGGGCACCGATGCTCTCCAATCGGCCAACCTTCGTTCTTGTTTCACATCTCCCTCGACTTGACTCGGCGAAAGAGATTTCGTTGACAAGTTTCCTCCTCACTTGACTTCTTTGGTTCAACATTGAACCGCAATTTTCCGTGCTCGCTTGCCTTCACCGCCGCGAATGCGGCCGCGACCCCCATCCACAACCCGTTCAGATCGACCCGGCAGTTCGTAACAAGCATGATCGCTACAAGCTCACGGTTTCGATCAACCCACGCCGACAATTCCACGGCACCTCCTGTAACGAAAAGTGCAACTTCATCGTCAACCCTCAGGTGAGTCCGTCGTCTACCCCTTTCTGGCGACGTTGTATCTTTTGCGTTCCTTCTGTGATGTTCTCTCAATCACATCTGGTTTCGTCGAGTCCCTGAAATTTCGATCAAGAAGCTCGCCGGCACCCCACAAAGTCGCCATCACGTAGTTCATTCGCAGAGCAACAACCATCCAAGCCTACATAGCTTCGGGTGCCCTGGAAACTGTTCGCTGATCTGATGTGCAGCGGGAAGCCCCCTGCGGACTGAGCAGCTGCAGCGTGTGCAGCATTTGCATGCAAGGCTTCAAGATCAAGGATAACGTCGGCACCACGGCGAGGAGGACTGGCTTCAGCCTTCGCTACGGAGAGGGCGTCTACTTCAGCAGCGTGTCCGGCAAGGCCAATGACTACGCCCGCTTCTCCCAAAAGGTACGATGCTGCCGAGGGCTGGCAATGATGCTGATTTGACTGCTTCTTTTGAATTTCGATCGCCACTCTTCATACAAATCAACACGCAACATTCCTCTGGAGTACGGCAAAGGGACATGGTGTGTTTGCGGCGAGACTTTCCACCCGAAACCACCTCAAAACATTTGCCGCCTATCACCTGTCGTTTGTCACTGAAGCATGCGTCAGAACGATGATGCCCATCACCATTTTGTTGTCCACATCGCCGCTACGCATGTCCACCCTTGGCCGTTTGTCTTTGTATCCACACGGGTTTCTTCTTTCAGACGGCCCCCGACGGACGAAGGCTGAGATGCATGTTTGTCGCTTACGTCGCGAAGGGCAATCCCTACCTGACCAAGGAAGCTAGTCTCCCGCGAAACAAGTGCCCACCTTCGGGCCTCGAATCGGTCGAGGGTATGGTAAGATTAAGCCCGTTTTTTCTGCAAAGGCCATCATTTCTGATTCCACACGTGAACTCTGAACGCCACTGCTATTCGAATAGAGCGTGTGCCGCATTTTTTATTTTGCGGTTTCGAGGTGACCATAACATAGGCTACACTGGTACCCTAGAAGGAATTGAAATGTAGGCGAGTATGTCTGATTTTCGTGCCCAGCATCCCATATCTGTCGCCCGTAGCAGTTGAAAGTGTGAAAGCACGTATCATCGGTTATAATCACCGGCGCCTGGAGATTGACACCGCCGCTGAAGATGCCTGTTGCCTGTTGGAGTACAGAAGTCTAGTTTTTCCTATTTACCGTAAGCTACGGAGTTTTCCCCCCGGAGTTCTTGTTTTTTGGTTGAAATCAAACCCCCCGGGGGGAAATTGACGTACGGGGGGGGGGCGTTGATTTTCTTCTCTTTATGTTACCCTGGGGGGTGTTTACCCCGGGGGGTTGTGTGTGAAAATAGTGGTGGTCCACATGCAAAACTATAAAACAAAACACAATAAATACAACATTTCACCAAAAACAACGTCGAATGCCAATTGCCGCGGTACAACACAAAAGCGCAGATGTTCAGATGAATTTTCTGTACCCTATCATGCTTGCTGTGCTTTGCGATAAAAAAAAACTCAAGAACAAATGCTTCCCCCTCGAGAGGATCGCCCCTCCCGGTGTTTGCCATCGGGGTTGGGTTTTCGTCGCTTGGCAACGACG